TAAACAACCCAATATCAACCAATGAAATTGAAAATGTAATTAAAAACTTACCAACTAAGAAAAGGCCAGGTCCTGCTGGATTCACTGCTGAAATATACAAGAGATTTAGAGAGGAATTACTGCCACTAGTGTTTAAACTCTTCAATGAAATTGAAAGGGAAGCAATACTCCCAAATTCATTCCTGGAAGGAAGCATCACCTTGATCCCCAAAGCAGAGAAATACCCAACTGAAAAAGAGAACTATAGGCCAATCTCATTAATGAACATGGATGCAAAAATTCTTAACAAGACACTGGCAAATAGAATGCAGAAGATCATCAAGAAGATCATACACCCTGACAAAGTGAGATTCATCCCAGGGATGCAGGGATGGTTTAGCATATGCAAATCAATCAATGTAATACACTATATCAATAGATCCAAGGACAAAAAACATATGATTATCTCAATAGATGCAGAAAAAGCATTTGACAAAATCCAACATGCATTTATGATAAAAACCCTAAAAAAATTGGAATAGATGGTCTCTACCTCAAACTGATAAAAGCCATCTAAAAAAAGCCAACAGCCAATATCATATTAAATGGTCAAAAACTGAAATCCTTCACACTAAAATCAGGAACAAGACAAGGATGTCCACTATCACCACTCTATTTCAATATAGTTTTGGAAACATTAGCCATGGCAATTAGACAAGAGAAAGAAATAAAATGAATAAAGACAGGGAATAAAGAAGTCAAATTGTCATTATCTGCAGATGACAAGATACTCTATATAGAAGACCCCAAGAATGCCACCAAAAGTCTTCTAGACTTAATAACCAAATTCAGTACAGTAGCTGGATACAAGGTCAACAACAAAAATCAATAGCTTTCCACTACACGAACAATAGACTCACTGAGACAGAAATAGGGCAAACAATTCCTTTCACAATAGCATCCAAAAAACCGAAATACCTACTAATCAACATAACAAAAGAAATCAAAGGCCTCTTCCCTGAAAACTATAGCACTCTGAAAAGAGAGATTGAAGATGATATCAGAAAGTGGAAAGATACCCTCTGCTCATGGGTAAGAAGGATCAATATAATGAAAATGGCCATATTTTCAAAACTGCTATACAGATTCAGTGCAATCCCAATTGAACTCCCAGCAGCATACTTCACAGACCTTGAGAAAACAATCCAAAAATTTATTTGGAATAAGAAGAGACCCAGAATAGCAAAAGCAATTCTAGGTAACAGAGACCTGGCAGGGGGTATCACAATCCCCAACCTGCAACTCTACTACAAAGCTACTGTGATAAAAACAGCATGGTACTGGCAAAGACACAGACCTGAGGACCAGTGGAACAGATTAGCAGATGCAGAAACAATGCCAGACACACTCAGGCACCTCATCTTTGACAAAGGATCCAAACACCCTCACTGGAGGAAAGACAGCCCCTTTAATAAATGGTGCTGGAAAAATTGGGTTTCAACTTGCCAAAGACTAAAACTAGACCTGTATCTCTCACCATGCACTAAACTACAATCAAAATGGATTAAAGATCTGGCTGGAAGAGAGGTTAGGTAGAACTCTTGAAGACACTGGTGTAGGAAAAGATTTTACGAACAAAACCTCAGTTGCCCATGAACTAGCACAAACAATCAACAAGTGGGATCTTTTTTTACTAAAAAGCTTCTGCACAGCAAAAGAAACCACCAACAGTGTGAAGAGATAACCCACAATGTGGGAAAAAATTTTCACCAGTGGTCCCTCAGACAAAGGTCTACTATCTAGAATCTATAAAAAACTTTAAAAAATCAGACCTCACAAATTTAAAGACCCAATCCAAAAATAGGCATCTGAAATGAACAGACATTTCTCACACAAAGAAATAGAAATGGCAAATAAACATATGAAAAAATGTTCAACATCACTGGTCATTCGAGAGATGCAAATGAAAACAACACTGAGATTCCACCTCACTCCAGAAAGAATGGCTACTATCATGAAATCAACCAATAACAAATGCTGGCGGGGCTGTGGGGAAAGAGGAACCCTGCTCCACTGCTGGTGGGAGTGTAGACTGGTGCAACCACTGTGGAAATCAGTATGGAGATACCTCAAAGAACTAAGACTGGAAGTCCCATTTGACCCAGCTATTCCACTGCTGGGGATCTTCCCCAAAGAATTAAGAGAATCATACCACAGTGATATATGTGCACCCATGTTCATAGCAGCACAGTTTGTAATAGCTAAAACTTGGAAGCAGCCCAAATGCCCATCAACTGGAGACTGGATAAAGAAAATGTGGGGTTTTTTTAAATGGAGTTCTACTCAGCCATGAAAAATGAGAAATTAGAGACATTTATAGCTAAATGGATGCACATTGATGCAATACTCTTAGGACACACACAGGACACACATGTGTAAATATCGAATAGTTTCTCTAGTGTGAGAAGCTGAAAGTACAAATAAGGACTAAAAGGTACAATAGATAATGTGAAATAGGAAGAAAAGGGGCAAAGGGGAAGTGGGAAGTGGGAGGGGGAGGGGAAAGGAAAGAAGGGAATGGAATTAATATGCAAAAATGAAAAAATGGAAACAAAGTCTTTGTAAATAGGGAGGGATGGAGGGGTTGAAGGGAGGGCAGGGTAAGGGGGAAAAAATAAGAACCAAGGGAGTATGTAAAGGTGCATATCTCCAATGATGAATGTCATTATATTGTATACCTAAAATGTACCAATAAAAGGATATACAGTTTTAAAAAATCATAGATAATTCTAAATGTCATGTAAGAAAAACTTTGGGGCCTAAATAAAACCAGTATCCAGAAGAAAGATTCCAGCATAACAAATAAAACATTACTTAAACCTGTAAATATGGTGTACTTGATATAAAAATAATATATTGTATCAATAAAGCATCAGAACCCAACACTATGAAGTTTTGTTGCTAAGGATCATGTCTGCAATGTGATAATTTACTATCAAGTTTTTTTCTAAGTTTACTTCTCAATATTGCTAAATTCAAATTTAATCAAGAGTTTCATTAGATTTCCATATTCACATAAAATATGGTTTCTCCCTGAATACTCAAAAGTTAAATGACTTTTTATGCTTATGATAGCAGCTCAAAATATAAAGCACCATGAAAGTGACTAAAAAATGAACTTCTCCAATATTATATTTTAATATTCGATTATAATAATAAAGGGGCACAGGTTTTCACAGCTTTAGATACTTCTAAACTAAATTGAGCTTAATGATTTGCATTATGTGAATGCTAAATTAAATGAGGACGGCAAGAGTGAAAATATATTTGGAAACCTTCACACTACACCAATTAGCATAACTTCTTTATTGTAAAAAGGGTATTCAACTATAACTTAATTCTGAAAATATCTGAGTTTCCTCTAATTTATATGAATGACAATGCTTCAGAAGTAAAAAATGCAAGAAAAAGGATTATTAAATAAAATATAACTACCAAGTCTACTCTTTAAAGCACAGATGAAAATGCCAATGATTCTTGATAGGAAGTTCTATGCAAGTATGGGGTTTATGGGTTGAAGACGATGAGAAAAGCATTCTAAACCATAAAACAAAATAAGCTTTGTATTACACTTCACAATCATACAAAGAACTAAGATTCTAAAATATGATTTACCTGATTTAGCACTGGCCTTCTTGCAAAACCATGGGATGCCGTCACATTACCAGGTTTGCTCTTCCTTCTTCAAGAGAAGCACAGCACAATATTTCCAAATATTAGCTTTTCCTCATGCAGCTATGGGCAAAAGCTCAGCTTTATAATTTTGTGCAAGTTAATCCACATCTCTAAATCCCAGCTTCTTTACTCAGTAAAGTTGTTGAAGGGGAAAATAAAGCATTTTGATAAATGTTTATAATTATTACATATTAACAGAATTTTACCCAGCATCACTGTGTTAGGCAGAATAAAGGGTCCCCAAAGATACCTATTTCCTGTTACCTTATATGGCAAAGGGTAATAAAATTTGTAGATGGAAATATGGTTGCTAATTGGCTGACTTTAAGACAGTGAGTATCCTGGATTTTCTGATCAAGCTTAATATAATCACAAAGATTCATAAAAGTGGAAGAAAGAGCTCAGAGAGTCACTAGTCAGAAGGAAACATAGCTGAGGAAGAGTAACATGGAACAGTGGTTGTGAACTTATGGCATATGTGTCATTGTGTTTTTCTTTTAAGACAAAAGATATTAATGTACAAGTTGTTTTTTCTAAACTGAAACCTTAGTATTCTGCTTTAATTGCAGTGTTGGTACTCAGTGATAAGTAAGTGGGTTTGGGGTTGGAGTTTGGCACTTGTTCTCTAAAAGGTTCTCCATCACTGTCATAGAAATTCAGTGTTGCTTGGCTTGAAAAATGAAGGAGGGGGCCATGAGCCAAGGAATATGGGCAGCAGTAAGAAGCTGGGAAAGGCTAGAAAACAGATTCTTCCCTAGGGCCTCCAGGAAGAATGCAGTCCTGGAAACATCATGACTTTAGCCCTGAAAGAGTAGTGTCTGACTTTTAGCCTAAGGAACCCTGAGATAGTAAGCTAGGTTGTTGTTAGCCACTAAATCTGTGGCAATTTGTTACAGCAGTAACAGAAAACTAGTACTGTGATCCCTATGGGAAGAGATCTTCCAGGCACTAGAGACAGCGAGATGACTAAGGGTGAGGATGCTGCTCTGTTTTATGACCCTGGAATAGCTTATTATAATATATTGAGACTCTGAAATCCAAAATGTTCCAAGACCTGAAACTTTTTGAGCACAGACATGGCATAAGTGGAAGATTCCACACCTGATCTCATGTAACACTTTTAGTCAAAATGCAAGTGATCTGAAAATAATGTATAAAATTACCACGAGCTGTGTGTATAGGGTGTGAATGAATAAATTTTGTATTTAGGCTTTCATCTCATCCCTAAAATATCTCATTGTGTATACACAAATATTCCCAAATCTCAAACACTTCTGGTCCCAATTATTTAGGATAAGGAATCAACCTGTGTATAAAATCAGCAGTGTTGGCTTTAAAAGTTCTATTATTATAGTCCAGAGAACTAAAGTAATTTTGAAAAATAATACATACTATTTTACAGAACCATTTCTATCTATGCAGAGTAAGTAGCTTAAAGCACAAACTTTGGCAGTATGAAGTCTTTAGCAGAAATGGCAAATTGTCTACCAAAATTCTGTCTCCTCCCAATACTACTGGGGTAGCAATGTTTCCAGCTAAAAATCCAAATTTCCAAGTTCCTCTTGAAAATAGGGATCTTAGGGTTCTCTGGAGGAATAAAACCAATAGAATTATGAGAGAGAATTTACTAAACTGTCTCATATGATCAAAGGCTGGACAATCCCACAATAGCCCAATTTCCCTGACAATAGTCCAGTTCAACCCTGAATGCCTGGAAGCTCCCTGACTGCTACTGGTGCAATTTCTACATTCCAAGGCTGAAGAACCTGGAATGTTTTCCACAAATGATGGCAGCAGAAGACATATCCACTCAAAAAGAATGGGGCTTATAAGCCACTGAGTTTCCATTTTGCTTTCGGCTCCATCTGAGCCCTCAATCTACTGGATGGTGCCACCTACCTTCAGGGCGGGTCCTCCCCTCTAGTTCTGACCTACATGCCAATCTGTGGTATGGTACACACACTCACAGATCCACCCGAAGGTGGATGAATCCACTCAGTATAGGACCCTATGATCCAATCACCTTCCATCCACAGGAGATTTAAGGGGACATTTCAGAGCTGAACCAAAACAAGTTATGTAGAAGCTAGTTTTCTAGGGATTCAGATTCTCACCCACAGCAGTATTCTATGATAAGGGCACGGTTATTTTCTATAAAGGCAATTTGACACTTGGTTTTGAAAAGTCATTATAATCATTCATACTAAGATATCAAAGAACAGTCAGAGACAAGGAAAATGAATGGTCCTCAAAACTAGGTTTAAGGAAGCTGAATCATAAAATACAGCTCCATATAAATTTTTCTGCTAAATTTTTGTTTGGTTAGTACCGAAGATCTATGATGAAAAGCAGCAGTCTCTCATTCAACTTCTCCCCTCCTCCAGATATGCTTCCCAGTAATAAAACCTCTTGACTGTTTCTGTTTCAAGAGACTTAGGTGGTTATTTCCATATGTCTTAATAATGTATTTTTTATTATCCTGACTTATTAACCTTGGATAATATCTTCTGACTGCCATTGTAATGAAATGTGAGAAATAAACTCATTTACCGCTTCTCCTTTTCCCAGTGTTGGATATTTATATTGTAATCTTTAGCTCTTGTATTGGTTAACTGTTAACTGTAAATAATATACTAAACACATACCTCTCATTGCATTGACTTTTCACAGGAGTTCTTGAACATACTTTGTAAAATAAGCACTGCAATACTGAATATATTTTTCTGCTTCTCATTAGATGGTTTCTAAAAGATGAAAATCAATAAACAGAATCATAATAATGATGTAAATGTGTTCTAATGTTATTTGAGAAACATATTTTCCCTTTCCACAAGTCCCATCACATGATCCATCACATGACATATTAAGGTAGATAGATGGTAGGTAGACATGTGTGCATGTATATTTTAACTAAAAGATTCAATTCAACAAACATATTTTGCAGGTTATTATCAAATATAAAGGATAAAGCTCTCCAGAAGGTATATCTAATATTTATATATTATATATACAGTCTCTGCCAAAAAATGTATACACACTTCAGCAGTTTGCCCTACTAATAAATGTCTAGAAGCTAATGGCCATCACTTTGAGCACCTCTTGTAATTGTAGGGGCCTAAGGTAGCTTGGTATTAATTGTATTAATCTCATGATGTCTCAATAAATTTAGTATTAAAATATTTATACGTTTTCTTTTCCTGGTGTATATATTTTTTGGCAGACTGTGTATAATATATGTAAGCTATCAAGATATATACACACACACACATATATATATTTATATTTGTACAAAAATATGATTCAGGAAGAAAGTTACAAAGAGTTGTAGAAAATAATCAGTTTCAAACATGAATTCATAGACTTTTTTTTTCCGGTACTGGGGATCGAACTCAGGACCTTGCACTTGCCAGGTGCAGTGCCGTGCCACTGAGCTACATCCCCAGCCCACAGAGACTTTTTCTATTTAAATGTAATTAGCCAAACTTGAGTTATTTGGAGGAAAATGGACTTACCTTTAACCATAATATTAAGTGAAATAAATCAGACACACAAGCTTAAATATCACCTGGTATTTTTCATATGAGAAACCCAAACTATAAAGAGAAAAATAAAAGATAGATGATAAGAGGTAAGGAGGTGGATTCTTTTCAAATGGGAAGAGGATCAAGTGATGGAGAGAGGTGAGGCAGATGGGAGGGAAGAGGCTAAAAGGAAGAAGAGAGATGTGTTTCATGCACATACCAACTCCTCACAAGGAATGTAATCATTATAGAAGGCAAACATGCTCACAAAAACTAAAAACCGAAAAAAAGAAAAAAGAGTTGGCATGTCAATCGTTAGGGTGCATTGAGCGATCCAGCAAACAGGTAGGTTCCTACTCTGTGGCGGACACTTCTTAGGACACTGGAGAAAAAATATGAGTCAAAGATGATGTAGTGCCATGAAAACTACAAGGAAAAAATACATCACAAGAAGGTAACAATAGTAGACCTGACTTAGTATTGAGGAAGTCAAGGCAACTTTGAGAATACAATTGTAGAGGCTGGGGATTTAGCTCAGTGGTTTCACCGCCTGCTGCACAAGCACAAGGACCCAAGTTCAATCCCTGGTACCAAAAAAAAAAAGAGAGAATACAATTGTAATGAGATTTTAAAAAATAAAGATTAAACTCTGCAGAGAGAGAGAGAGAGACAGAAGGCAGAGACAGCATAGGTATAGCATCCTAAGCTGGCCAAACAACACACCTACAGCCCTTGGGATTAACCACTAGACAAATAGAGTGACTAGAACTCAGAAAGAAAAGAAAAGGTAATTTTTTTAATGTTGAATAAATAAAGTATAAGTATGTGTATGTTTTAAATACATATTATGTGCATAACTTCATACATCTGTGATATATAATTTCATATGTATGTAATAACTTTAAAAGTATATATTATCCCCAGAACATCTTTGCTATTAATTCTTATATATATTATATATCTAGGAATATAACTTTAGGTTTTTACCAATTTCTCTATAGATTGCTAAAAGAATAAATACTTTTTCTACCAAAATAATTGTAATAATAAAGAAAACTATAAGAATCTATGTATTCCTACATGCATAAGGTTTGAATTGCTCCACCAGGAAATTTTTCAGCCATATGTATGTTGCAGCTAGAAAGACAAATTGATTTATGTAACTTCCACATGAGTGAAATGACTCTTTTCTTTGAAGTTTTTTCTGTATTTTTACTCCTCTCCTTTGTTTTTCAAAACGTGCTCTTGTAAACCTTGTTTCTGTGTGGCTCATTTCTAAGAACAGTTATCTTTTCAACAGTACTTTGGACTTATTAATTAAGTTTCATGTTAATTATCAATTAAGAAAATCAAGTGGGTTTTGGGGGGGGTTGTTTTTTAAATTCTTTTATTGGTACATTTTAAGTATACAACACAATTACATTTCTCATTGGGAATTGTACCTTTACATGATGCATCTTGGTTCTTATTTTTTCCCTGTTCCTAGCCCTCCCTTCACCCCCTCCACCCTTCCCTATTTACAAAGACTTTATTTCCATTTTTTCCATTTCTCATCATTTTTTCCTTTCCCTTCTTTCCTTACCCCTGCCCCTCCCACTACACCTACCCCTTTGGACATTAAGAAAATCAAGTTTTAAATGGAATAGAGTAGAGTAGAATCTACTAAAAATTAGTCTGTATTATACTTAATAATAGAAAGTGTTTTTCTGAAACCTCATGCACACATACACATACACACACACACACACCTATTTTTGGCCAATAAAGAAAATGAATTTCTTATTGTCACAGACAAAAGTGTATGATTAACACTATTCTAGAAGCTTGTGCACTTACTATAGAACTTCAAAAGTTGAATCATATTCAGTGATGTCAATGCCCTGTAACATATTTGTATAAATTAAAATATACAACAATTCTACATCAAACTCCTATTATGAACCACAAGCAACTGTCAATAACCTCTAATGTGTATGGTATATGAAAGAGGCCTGATTAATTTTCAATCCTTTTATCTATATCCTACATCAAGAAGATTCTGCAGTAGTAGGACTAAAGGTAACACAAGTCATTGAATAACTACTGTATCTATCACGGGAAGGGTATCTCATGGGCTGACGAGAGTGTACCAAGGAATATGGTTAACATAAGTTTCTGTCTCTGAATATTAAAAAAGAAAACTGACATCAATAGGCTTCCTACTTCAATACGCTTAACAATTATTAAAAATTAGTAAAGGAAAAAAAATTTTTTAATTAGTAAAGAAGGAGAATATCTCAGTACTGTACATTGATTACTGGAAAATAAGGCAAGGCGAGAAGGATAAGCAGGTAGAATATTCAAGCTTTTCACAGTAGTGAATTTTCTTTAGTAAAAGTCTATCTCAGAAAATATTTAATTTGTCCTTCTAGAATTGTTTCTATTGGAAGTCTATACTGTTAGCATCTTAAAATTGGTGGTGTTCTTTTTGTAATAATACTTATTTAAATAAATCAGAGTCTAAATCAGGAGACTATTGGAGGAAAAATTACTACCTAAGAAGCTGAGAGAGTAGGTTTTGAAAACTCATAGTCATCCCTTTAGGAAGACACGGGGTAATTTAACTGGAAAGGATGCTGGCTGAAGGGAAGATCAATATGTAATTTTAACTAGATTGCTTCCCTATTGTCCTTTGGGCTAATGCCAAAGAAACACTTTACCTGGTTTGGAACAATGGGTCAAACCAGAAACATTACTCTGGACCTGCAAGTGAAAATGAAACCGATACGGACAGTATGCAGAGACAGTCTGAGATTCCATTAAGCTGTCCGTCCCGAGCAAGGCGGGGTGCAATGGCTGTGGCTGAGAGAAACTTTCACCATCACCAAGTCTCTCTGGGCAACTTCCTTGATGCATTTATGAGGAAACTTGTCATTTCTGTTACGTTTTCTCTCTTGGACCTTAAAGTAAATTCATCTTTTATCAGTTCCACACTTCATTGAGTGTCATGATTTGGAAGACATGATAAAATAGTGGCTGTTGCTGCCCCTAGAGAGAGGACTCTGAACCTGCTTTCATTTCAAAATACAGTACTCATGGGAATTGAGTATCTGGTAAGACCACTGCCTCTAAAAAAAAGAATAGTCTGGAAGCAAAGCAGAGCTGGAAATTTAGGAACTGTTGCCTAAATATAGAGACTGCTCTTTGAGACTTAGAGATAATTTCAATGTCATCGAAATCAGAGAAGTATAAATTAATAATTACTACCAATTCATCCTCAAATTTCATTTTAGTTTAAACCATATTTGCATTGTTGATTTTGTCCTCCCTCTCTAGACAACACCCTTCACCTCTTTAAAAATTCCCTAGACCTTCTTGGAGAAAAAAATAATATTTAAAAATACGTCTCTGGGGATTTAGCTCAGTGGCACTGGGCTGCCTCACAAGCGCAAGGTCCTGAGTTTGATTCCCAGTACCAAGAAAAAAGAAAGAAAGAAAAGAAAAAGAAAAAGTCTCATCAAGTCATGGTGCACATTACTTGAAAAAGTGTGTGTGTGTGTGTGTGTGTGTGTGTGTGTGAATACAAGCATCAGATACATCATTATCTAAGACTTTAACCACCAAATTAACAGCAACTTTGACTTCAGAGCATACATTGAAATCCAAAACTTGAAATTCTGGAACTGCAGTGATTACATCCTTGTCCAATATGGCCCCTCAGAGAAACCAAAATATCATTTCTTTCATATTAAGAAGTTTTCCTTATTAACATATTTTGGTTGACAATGAGTTTGTCTGTATTTGTACAAATATTAAGAATGAGAGTATCATGTAAAGTAGAGAAAGAATTAGGCAAAACTGCAGATTAAGTAGGAGACATTCAACCCCAGAGCCTACACTTAACATTTTTATGAAGCCACTTATCTTCATTAGACTCCACCACAGAGACACGGTTATTACGAGATCATTTCCCAATTCATTTTTACTTAAGATTGAAATCTGCTAAATATCATGACTGCCTCCAAATGCAGATCCAAAGAGACTTTTGTCATCAATAAATGAATGTTAAATTATACAATAATCAGGGTTCATTTTGCTTTGGTATTTGTTTTTGTTTTTTGTTTTGCTTAAAGGTACCTTTCTGAGTAACAACTTTATTGTTTGCATGCAATTCAAAAAACTTCAAAACTGGTTTTAAAAAACGGCACAGAATATACTTTAAAAATCACCCAATTATACAATTCAA